CGTTGAATTTAGAATCATTGAATCTTTTTGAATTACATTCGGTAAAACGATGATTTGGGACCTGGGTAACGTATGATAGTTTTTTCACAGATGTCTCACGAGAACGGGAACTATGCGTCAATGCCCCAGGACTCTCTAACTCTTAACCACTGAACTTATTCTAGAGAGATTCGGTACAACAATAGTCGATAGAATAGTTTTTATTACTCAAACCTTACGTGATCGGGCACTGTACTGGTAAGATCCCTGCGGGATTATTTATTTATTGAAACTACGATAAATCATTTCAAAATAGGTAAATCTTACTTGGGCACTGAATTGATTCTGGTTAATTCTGTCAGAAGTCATTAATCTACGCGGACGAAGTCGCGGGCAACAGCTATCTACACATATAATTAATCGTAGAAAAGTCAAAACTGTACATTGAATATTTTTTAAAAGAATATTTGAAGCGTGATCTCTAATCGATACCGAAGCCAATAATGTGATTTTTAGAATTTTTGTCTGTTTGTCTGTATGTATGGCCGTGATGATCTCAAAAAGTACTGCACTACTATTTCAAATTTTGCATGAATATTACTAACAAGTCTGGTAAACATATAGGCTACATATTATCACGCTATCATCTACGGGACTGAATCAATTCTGACGACATCCATACCGTAGAATATCCCTTGATAAAAACTAATTCAAAAGCCTAAATTCTGCCAGAAGTCGTTATTCTACGCGGACGAAGTCGCGGGCAACAGCTAGTTGCGTATAAACTAATAATAAATGTGGATATCCTAAGGTTCATCTTTAGGTGCTTGCCCTAAGATTCCAGAGAAAAGACAATCTAATATTTTGATACACAAAAACTCAAAACTAGTTGAGTATGTTATAAGCAAACGAAATATGAGTAAAACCAGAGGTCTGTTTTTTACCAATTCGCGGGCTCAGCCACGCACATAGATGATCTACTTATCACCATAGACTATATATGACCATAGAGTATACCACAGATACACAACCTCAAAAGCATTTACTTCAAATGAAACCATAATTTAGTACTTTTGAAACGTCAATAAATATAAAATAAATAATAGTCTGTCAGTCTGTCTGTCAGTGAAGCTAGGTGCTCGTTCCAAAAAGCAGATTCCAGTAGAGAAGAACGAGCGAGAAACTCCATTCGTTACTTTTTTTTCACAATAGTTTTTACATGTACCTACCTATGCTCACAGAAAAGAATGTCAAATGTAGGTACATCAATTTAGGACTTATCTATATTGTGAGTGTCACCAATCTGTTGTAACTTGTAATAATTAATATTATTATAAAATTATCTGTATGATAAGTTTGTTATCTTTATAAGTCTAAATATGAGTAAGTAACTCAAAAGAAACATACCGGATTTTATCTTTATTGTTTACCTCATTGGTCGAGGAATCGTAAGTTTTACCTTATTTTTTAAAGGGGGGAAAATCATCAAATGACTTCTCCCGCCTGGGTGAGGCGGGAGAGTGTCACATGTCGCTGTCCATAGATATTTATGGTATAATTTTCGTGAGACATACTACTTATGTTTTTCGGTTTACACACGTAATTATTTGACAAGGAACTTGACTAGTTTCAAACCATGCTAGAGGCTATATGTATGTATGTATAGGTTTATGTATTTTATTGTGATCTATTTATTTAATACATTTCATGTCATGTTACGCACAGTGTCTCTGTTTTTACCGTTTTTCCTGTCGAAGGACTGCAGGAAGAGATTCCTACGGAAATATGTAGTACCTATGTACCTCCAATTTATTTATATATGTGTTCTCCTGTGTACTGTCTGTGTGTTGTGCATAAATAGATAAATAAATAAATAAATAAATAAAATAAAAAATACGTGTCTAATGATTTAAAATAATCTAACAGTTATTAACTATTTCGATAGGCCAGTCTCTGTCGATGGATTTAGAATATTAGAGATTAGAATTTAGACAGATTTTGCATGGCTAATTAGTAGCCTATAGACAGTACCTATTAATGTTACTGATATACTTAGGTAATATAGACATACAGGTTATAGAGACCAGTCGCAAAACAATGTAACCAATAATTTTAGCTGAGCACTGGCGTTTTTGTGCCGTTTTCATTGTTTTTTTTATTTATTTTTTTACTATACATTTATTATAGTAAAACGGATTAACATTTGGGAATTGTTTATGTAATTTGATATAAATGGATTATGTACAGTTGTAATTGGACTTCAGGTTCGCTCACTATTTATAATTAAGATTGTTGTGTACGATTTCAATCTGTCGTCTGTATCTGTACTTATGTAAAATAAATAAATAAATTACTATACATTTTATTTTATTTATTTATTTATTAAACTTTATTGCACATACAGTGAAATTGGCGGACTTAATGCCGAAGGCATTATCTAACAGTCGACCATTGGGTGATGCGCAATGTTAAAGCGGTAGGTGCAAAATTCTAAAAAGAAAGTATGAAGTAGATAACGAAGTTAAGGTAATAAAATATTAAAGAGGGAAGACATGATTGTTATAGTGGTTTTGATTGAACTATTGAAGACATTTTCGTGGTTCTGTATTTTTTAACGGTGCAAATAAACTGCTTTTCCTTCTTTATTCCTTTCTATAAAAGTGGCGAAAAGCAAATAACTATAAGTACATACTTATTCTAGAACATACTGGAACATTGTTTAGTATTAAAATAAATTCAGTCGAAGTATAATTAAAGTTTATAATGAAGCGCTTGTTTTGTAGTTAGGTACTGGGGCCCCAAACCTCAAACGATTACATATTTAGAAGTAAACAGCAAAAAATATTAACAAACAACTACCTATGTTTGAACATTTATTTGTATTCATGCGTGTGACCACAGAGAAAAAATGAAAAATTTAATGTTATGAACTAGGTAATATATCAACGGCATCGTTTAAAATATCAGAAAGGTCATATTAAAAAAGGTTTATAACACATTAATCAGTTTGGCCATTGTTAGAGGAAAGGCAAATAAAGCTACAAAATTGAAAATTAACCCTGAATATCCTATAATGATTTCTCGCAATGAACTTTTAGATTTGCAAGAAAGAATAGAACATGGATGCTATAGGATCCATGATCCAAAATATATGTCATCACTACATAGTATAAAACAAAGTCGCTATCCGCCGTCTCTCTGTCTCTATGTATGCTTAGATGATATGATGCGGTTTTTTTTTAATAGATAGTATGATTCTCAAGGGTGATTTATATGTATAATATGTATGCATATTGCACCCGTGCGAAAGCGGGGCACGTTGCTTGTTGTCTATATAGTTTTGTATTTACATTGGCGTAAAAATATTGTTCTTAACAGAAAAAAAAATATCTAAACAATGTTATTTAGACAAAATACATAGATGACAATTAGTTAATTCAGTCCAATACAAAACTACGTCAGTTTTGACGGTTAAAATTGTCATTCAGGAGTAGGAATAACATCACTTTATCAGTAAAATCTGTAAACACAATCTAATAAAATACACATAGCAATGTAACAATTATCATATTTGTGTACTTTCTATTTCTGTAGTTATAAATACAACTAAAGCACTAAAAAGCCAAGCGTCAGTGTAGTGATAACACAATTATAGCCTGGAATAGATCCGTTCGATTTTCAAAATTGTGCACGTGAATGATCCAGTATCCAGAAAACAATAAGATTGACCATAAACAATTTCGAATGTACCTAAATTCACAATTGACAATAATATGTCCGTATGTAAGTAATTGAATACTGTTCTATTACTAATTAGATGATGTTTTAAGATATTAGTAGCTGATCTCAAGCCGTCAATCTCTGAATCGATGTAACTTTTTGACGATTCGATGGAAATAGTGTAAAAAATTGTCATAATTTAAAGAAAAATTAATGACATTTTAGTTTTGATACTTTTGCAGTTACAATCGGAGATAGTAACAGTCTATCGCAACACAAATAGTGTTGTCGATGCTCTGAAATTTTAGCAATAAAAATACAATTTGAATACGACTCTAAATGAATCAATACAGATATACCTAGTATCCAAATTATACTGGCATTTATTTCTTTCCTGACAAACTCGTATATTTGGTTCTTGGGGAAATCCTGTATTTCATTCTTTTTTTCTTCTACTACACGTAGACTGGATTAGAACTCGTTTTTTCTCGTTATCAGTAAAAAATCCATGTCATTAGGATTCATTTTTAATTAGCTTGTTTATCAACCTGGGAATCCTGTCGTGGTAGCTTGGAAAATTGTTTATGGGATTATTTGCTTCGAATGGACAGACAGTTTCCCATGATACTTGAGGTGATTGCACGATTAGATTTCACTTATCTTCAACACAGAACACATGAAATTTGCCGAGGGCCTAAAATAGTGCCTTGCGGCAGTCCCGTTTTTACCTAATTAAATCTTATTCTATGTTTCGAGGTCTTAAAATGAGCAATTGTATTTTAAATTTGTTGATAAATAAGATGAATTAGGTAAAGAAGTTAATAAATATATCAAAGAGATAGATTTATTGTCGCATCGCCGCAACTAGAATGCTATTTTATCTATCTACGGTTTCCGTGTTTTCATGCCATTACGAATAATCTAGAGTAATTTACTTCACTTTTCTAGTTATTAAAAAGTGAATAGTAACACTAACCTACATGTTAATGTTCATAAAAAAGTTTTTTAATAAATACCTCACAAAATGTAGTTGTAATCACTTTCCGAATTCCACATAGTAGGAATTGGAATTGAGACGCGCCGGATTGGTCGACATCGATAACTATCTATATCAACAATAGGGTTTACCTAATCTGTTATACAATTTACGCCGCTCCTACACTCAACAAGTTGTATTTGTTCACGCTCATACTCATTTCAATCAATCTTTTGGCCGTAGTTACTAGGTGTATGACAAATTTGGAAGTTGGAGGTGTCAATGGATGGTTGAGCGCTGTTTTTACATGTTTTTGTTCGCTTACCTGATTCGTGAGCACATCAATAACAACATAGGCGAGGTAGACGATCTCCTCTTCGTCGGAGCCCAGCGCGGCACCGCCGAGGCCCGCCGTGCGCACGTGCAGAGCGCACACCCAGCCGCCGCTGATCATCGCGCCATGCACTGATACACCACCTCACAACAACACGCCCGCCACTAACTCCACAACCCTCAGCACTTGTCCTGCCCACACCTCATCAACAAACAGTCCACAGAGTGCCACACACTTTCTAACGGGACTCCAGTGGGCGAACCACCGAAAATTCACGTATACGTTGCTGTATGTTCGCTCGAAAGCACTTTTTAGAAACCTGACGGTTACTCAACATGAAACAAGAACTAGCGTGCGGCGCGGACGACGTTTTACCGCTAGCCGTCTACGTAAGCTGTTTCCGCTGTAGGTGAAAATCTAGAATTAACTCACATCACATAGCCACACCAAATCTAAGAGTCCAGTCGCTAACTCTATGGAAAGAACAAGCTTTGAACGGTGTCGATGAACGTTCCTAATTTGAATACCGTATTTGTCCACAGATTTTTAAAGATTTCACTTCGCGCGCTTTAACAACACTAGAGTACTTATTACGCGTCACTGTATAACTTTAACTTTGATATTCGTGGAATATTTTTAATAAAAAATTGTAAGACAGCTCGGGACGAGCGTGTCTGTCGGATCGTAGGATCGACTGCCGCCCGTTCGCTTGCCCCCCTGTTGACACTGCGCAGGTAGCGCCAGGTGAGCGACGCGACGTTGCCAAACCGACTATTATCAATGATGATGAGATAGCTGCTGCTTCTACCACGTCATTTCGAAATTCACGCATCGTTGCCAACGTAATAAAATGCTGTTTATACACTATTCTGTATCCAAAAGTTGCATTTTAGAGCATTAATGGAATGTGTCGTGGAGCAAGTATCGAGATTGTGTGGTCGTGGTAAATTGACGACTGTGTACTTAATTATTTTTTTGAAAATGTTAATGGACATTTTGCAGTGTGAGTTGTGCAGGATACATTGCGTGCGCGGCACTGCGACCTCGTTACCGTAATGTTAGAGAAAGTGTAAATAGATGTGGTGTTATGCGATCGCGTTATTAGCGTTTACACAAATATAAGTCCGCGTGACAAGGTCGAGGATTAAGCAATTAATAAGTAAACGATAATTTTGTGTGCATTGCACCTTTTTCATTTAAATAGTCCAGTGCGGGCGACTCATTCAATAATTCAATTTATATTTCTGATAACCTGCATAGGTGCATTTTTTGTTTTGTTGACTTGAACAAAACAAATGCATAGCGCGGAATATTTATCAATCAAAATCTGTGTACATAACCTGTTTCTTTAAATGAATTCATACACTCATTTAGTTTCTGGAATCCAAGATGGTTGTTGTATGGAACAGTCATTTAATATGCGCCTAACGATTGGAAGTCACCGCAGGTCAATCAGGCAGCTAATTAAAATGCGTTTAACTTTGTTTCAAATACATAAAATATATTTGTGGTGTTCCATCTAGCTGTCACATGTTTATTGTATGTACCTAGGTATTTCTTTGAAATTCGTCACGACAGATAGTTTTCATAATAGTAGGTAGGCTTATTCATAATATTCAGATATGAAGGAGATTTTTTTTTAAGGTGAGAAAATCATCGAATGACTGTTCCCGACTGGGTGAAGCGGGAGGGAGTGTCAGACTCTTACTGACTAAAACCCACCCCGTTCCTTCTCCTGCACTTCGAGCCGGAGCCCCGGTAACCCGTTAGGATCTCCGCGACATATGAAGGAGATTTGGGAGTTACTTATAAAGACCACGTTTGATTTTGATCATGTTACGTCTGAAGCCATTGGCCAAAAACTGCGACATTAACTTTTAAACGTTCGGTGATTACTGTTTTTCTTATTAACACTTCATTTATACTAAATCCTAATCGCTTATAAATGTTATTTCTAGTATTTTTTTACATCATTATCATTAACATTAAAAACATTTAACATTAGTATTCAGGTTTAATATTGTTACAAGTAATTGACATTGGGTCCTACAAAGTTAATTTATTTAGGTATCTAATAATTACCTATTGTGTTACCTAGATACTACGTACAGGTACCTATGACTTTTCGTACTTGGGCTGTACCTAGGTAGGTTCAAAAACATGTCATTTGTAATATTAGTCAATATCATTATGACACAGACTGCAACCCTGTAAAAACAAACCGTAATTTCGAAGCCGTGGAATCAAAATCATGAGTCGGTATTAATTAAACAGCTGAACGCAATTTGATCAATATTTCTCGTTTTTATAGCCTTCACTCCTGGAACATTTGTAAACTGCAAACTGCTCTGTAGGGCATTTGGCATAAATAACGGAAAATATAATTATGGCTTCATGTTTTAGGTAAATAGACACATTTTCAATTATTTTTTTTTCTACAGAAGTAAGTAAACATAATAAGTAGGGCTAGTGACGCTAAAAAAAATACCATGCATCTAAAATGTTAAGAGTTAACACAGTTACTCGATAGATGGCGCTGATTCCAATAGCCGATTCGCGAAGCAAGTTCACTATGAAACTTTTTACCTAAATAGAATTAAAAAAAAATTAAGACATCAGAATATGTAATAATACTGTAGTTTCTAAGATACTTTATCGATGTATGTACTTAGGTACAGTGACCGGCACATTAACCTTCTCCAATATGTCAATGTTTATCATTGGATTTTCGACTTTAAGTATTTCAGCGATAGAGTTGAAAATGTAATAAACGAATTTGACAGAAAAGAGTAGATTGATCCGCTACCCACTACATATAAAATGAATGAATCAATGTAACTTCACAATCATTTTGAACGCAACTTATGAAGGTCAGTAATAAACATTGAAGGTTGCAAATATATTGTCTATGTTGCTAGGGGACTTAGGTACCTACGTCAAATACTACTATAATTATGTACACATAGTATTGATTTTTTTTTAAGGGGGGAAAATCATCGAATGACTTATCCCACCCGGGTGAGGCGGGAGGGAGTGTCAGACTCTTACTGACTAAAAACCACCGCGTTCCTTCTCCTGCACGTCGAGCCGGAGCCCCGGTTACCCGTTCTCCGCGACTCCGAATCGGCATCAGCCCTGTTGGGCCCCATCCGTGAGAAAAGCTCTAGTAGTTTCGAGTCACAGAGGGATTCTTCGGATCTTTCGGATATTTATGTGAATAACAGTTAAAGTTAATTTTTTGATACTGTTAGGTAGGTAATGATTTTGACACTTAACTTTTTTATTTAAGGTAGGTGTAAAAACCTTAGATTCTAAACATTGTTTTATGGGCCTAGCAATGTGGTTCAGGTCAGCAATAAACTAATAATCTCTGGTAAGACCTCCACATAATTAGGTAAAAGTGCTTTTCTTGTCGTTTTTCGGGCAATGTTGCTAATGACTAAGTATGAGCCCCAGCGTGGATTGAAACTGATCGAGTTACATCGTCGAACAGTTTCAAGAGTAGGTAGTCTTTACAATGTGATATAGTACGTATAGCAAAATTTGCCCCTAAAGTCATTAATTATTTATATTTACAGCAACATAATCTAAGTATTGCAAAGTACGCAATAATTAGCATATTTTTAGCTGCATGATATTATTTGTCGACCTAACGTTCTTACGAGTTCAAAGTCACGACATTTTTTGTTCTAAGCCAGCAATTTAAGCAGTTTAATTTAAACATTTTTATTCAAAGGCATTGCATTGAGCGGGAATATTCATTTGCATCATAACCTACCCTATGCATTAGTTTTAAATTTTTTTTTTTTTCTTTACCATGAAATAATAATATGATTTGCGTATGGCAGGTATACAGCCTCTAGTTAACCTAAACACGAATCACTTTTCTGAATACATTACAAGCCTTAGAGTATTTTTTTTAAATGTATAATGTCTAAATATTTAAAATAAAAAGCTTACAAAATATTTCCTTCTACGAAAATTTACAAAAATTAAGAAGCATTTTTGTTTACCTAATATTTAGGTAAGGCCAGCAATAACAATTTACTTGATTTTCTCATAGTTAGGTGCTTATTTACCGTAAATGTTGCCATTACACCTACTTATTATAAAAATCAAGGACGTATGGTCTACAGTTCTACACGTGAACGTTACTGGTTGGTTATAAAGTTTCTCTAAAAATTATTAAAATTATTCAAATAGAGGAAAAGGAAGTCTCTAGATATTTTTTTATAGATTTAAATAAAGATTTGTTTGTTTACCAGATTTATATTAAAAATTTCGTGAGACATACTAAATTAATTACCTATTATGTTTTCGGCTTGCTCACGTAACTGTACTTACGTGATGAAGAAGAGATCTTCCTCGGAAAAGGCAGCTATCCAACAGAACAAGAATTATTCAATGTGAACCAGTAGTTTCGGGGATTAGCGCTCTCAAACTAACAAACTCTTCAGTATTATAATTATAAAATTAGTAAAGATTTATTCAGAACCGAATTTTCAATGATCAGTTAACTTTTAACTGTAGAATAAAATTGATATTTGACAGTTTTTAGTATCGAAGAATTGTCAAATATTCAAAATTCTTATCAGAGTCCTAAATCTGCCCTTAATCTTTTTATCAAAACTTTATTCAACAACTTAAACAAAAGTCTAGGATTGCAGTAGCGACCATAAATCATTTTCAATTAGGCGAGGAAGCTGCGCGCGCAACGCCCCGCGCGAACGATTGGCGCGTTCATTATAAAATTTCAAGATGGACGCCCACCCGCTCCGATTACCGCCAGATGTGTGACATTTTGTAAACAATCCCGCCGACGAATGATCTATTTATTTTAGTTTATGTACGACTACACTGTTTTACGGGTAACGCCCAGATTTCATTGGATATTGAATGGGTAATTCGGGAGATACTGGAAAGTTTTCATTAAAGGTTACTTACAAGAATCAAAATATGGACAGTTTAAGGAACTAATTAAAAAGTAATCAGGCCTTCTAAAATGTGGATTATGTAGAGGATAGAATCTTCCAAATCTTAATCTTTAAGTTTATCTTTAGGTAGATAAGCAAGTACTTAACTAAAAAAAATCCTATGTTTGTGTCTTGACTTGACTGCCTCGTTGCTTGGACAGGCCGCAAGTGCTACTCACTGCCAAGTTATTTTCAATCTTCGTGCTATTTTTGAGAATTATTGGAAAACCTAAAACCCCCTATAACTCTGTCCGACCTGCAAACCGAAGCCATAGCCCTTTACTGTAGCTAACTAACAGAGCAATGCTAATAATACTAAACTATACCTAGTCAATATTTTCTAAGAAAAAAGTTCTTATCTTCTTCATAACCTTCAAGAAAAGAGCGTATTCTTTTTTAAAAGGCCAGTAACGCTCCTGTGACGCCTCCCGTCTCAAACGGCCGGGAGAAGTCATTCGATTCCCCCTTAAAAAAAACATTTCCGAACTCTTAAATTATAGTACCTACCTATCTACCTGTACTGACAAGATACCTAGCCACTAATCATCGACAGACAAGGACAGAGCGATTAAACTATACAATAAATAAAGGACAACAACACATTGTTATTGTAATGATGACAATGCTAGTTTTTATGACGTGCGATCCACCTGCAGCTTAGAATGGAGGTTTCCTAAGCAAAGTACCGGTTATTACAATAAACTGTAGTTTTTAGTTCCACAGGTAAAATGGCCATGATGGAACCCGAAGAGACCGATTTCTTTTATAGTCAAAGCATTTATTTTAATGAATCTTGAATTCGGTACCTACTTTTGAAACGTCAAAAATGGAAGTGTCCATCCGAGAGAACAACGAGCAAGAAACTCCATCGTTACTCTTTTAAAAAAATGTTTTTTACAGGGTGGATTTTAGTATAAGTCTGACACTCCCTCTCGCCTTGGCCGGGCGGGAGAAGTCATTGGATGAATTCCCCCCTTAAAAAAAGGGCACACAAACTATAGCTAGATCAACAGCTGGTGACAATTCACTGCTGGACTTCAAGCTTCCTCTACACAAGAGGGTTTGCCATTATCTCTACGTTACGCTTGGCAAGCCTATTGCACTTCAAATAGTTCAGATTTATCAGATAGTTAAAATAGTTCAGAATTTCTTTCGCAAGCCTACGTAGTCCCTCATTTTGCATTTAACCCACGGGTGAGAAGCCGTTATTATCACACGAGTAACTAGCTTTACAATCACTTATATATAAGAGCAGCTATAAAAGAGGACTCAACTTGTTACATCCTTCCACATGACCATATAAATATGCAAAAGTAACGCACTTGTTATCATGATAAACTTTTTCCACTATCCCGTGCCCTTTACTTCCGTATCGCATTATCCATATATGGTGCCGTATTAAAAACCATACATTTCGGTGATGCGTGACCTAACCGGTCGGTCGCCCTTCCTACCTGGATACGCCTGAGAAAATCTACCACGAAACATCGTAACAAAAAATAACCTAACATTGTAGCTTCCATTTTCCTTTTTCTACATATCGTTGAAGGATTAAATAGAAAAAAACAAGCAATTGAAGTTATTTAAAATGATTCCTTGTATTTAACGTGTATAAAGTTGTGTAAATAATTAATCGAAGCGTTCCATCATAACGCTGTTGAGTTAGCCGCCATTTTGATATTAGAAACATTTCCCGCCAAATGTGCAATCCTGTGACGTAGGTTATGTTTTTTTTAGTGCTAGTGCAATGGCCTTTGAGTGGTCTTCGTTTTTATCACGATAAGGTATATGACCTTTGTTGTCGGTAAAAATAAATGCATAACTATAGTCAGAATTTTAATTAGATTCCAGATTTGACAATAGCTACTGTCATTTTGTGAAATAATAATACCACATATAATAGCGTAGTGATGAACACAAAAATCGATAAACAATCAGTGTGTGTGTTTTATAATAAATGTTACAGAAAGTGACAGGATAGCGATAGCGATGACGGTGACAATTTATAAAATAACTTATTACCATAATACATCTATCTGTTTTATTTGTCATGTTCCTTCATGATTACATTTTTTTAGTTATTTCACACACAATTATAAAAGAAAAGTCTCAGATCGTTAAGTAATCGTCAAAACTAAATTATCGTTCAGAAATATTTAATTTCCTGATATCCTTAGTTTACGAGAGTAAAATTATAAACGAGAAGAATCGATCCAGAAATATTGCATTTCCATATCGAATAATTTCGCAACGTCACTATTTAGTACTTGTCATAACGTTGCAACACTGAAATTGTCAAATCTGGAATCGAATTAAAATTCCGAGTATAGTATTTCTTGCCTTGATATGTAAGTAATGAATTATATCAACGACTTTTTCAACTAGCTACCGTTTAGTATCTTCATATAGTAAATCCTTGGTGGAAATTTAAAGCATGAAATGGTTAGCAAATAAAATGCTACAGTAATTTTTCAATTATAGTACTACCACTTTCAATTATAGTAACGCGGCCAAAGGCGTTTTCGAAATCCAAGTCAATAATGACATCAGACCACCACGGATGATGCCGATCCCTCTCGCTCCTCCCTGGGTGAGCCAAGCGGGAGAGATAATTCGATGATTTCCCCCCTTTAAAAGTAAAAGTCAACAATGACAATAACCATAAAGTTCCGTACTCCAAACAAACGTCAATTTCACCATAAAACTTTAAATGATGATGGGAATCTGGGATGGATAGCTACGTCCACTAAACTGTGTATTACCTATCAAGTAGGTATGATCTTCAAACTGGCTGACAAACGTGAAGATTATGGTGAACCGTTCCCTTCATAAGAAAGTCCCATATTCAGCAGAAAACGACACAACGACGACTTCTGGCTGAATATTCATAAATGATTAGAATAAGTACTTAAGATGATTAACATCTGCACTGTCTGCACAACACTACCAAAAAATGTACACGTCTCATGGTCATGTTATTTCAAAATACTGAGAAATGTTGTAAAAGAAACAAAATTTCGAAATTATTTACGTAGATAGGTAAAGCAAAAACGGTTGTTTTATGGCTTCTAAATAACTTTTTCAAAATAAGTGTCAAAAGTAATAAATTAAACAAAAAAACTTCGTGCAATAAGAAGTCCTAATGTGCTTATGGTAATTTGGTGAAAAATTACGCTATTACCTCGCTTGCTGCGAAAAAACTGGCATTTTTAACTGCACGGTACTTTACCCATATGTAAAATACAGTTAATATGTAGTCGCTACCTATTTAAGTACCTACTAAAGCACCTTTACATAAACCATAACAAAGACTAATTTTTACTGTGAAGTGATGGATAAAATAGAGACTGGTCAAGTGCCGAAAGCATGGAAGCTGGACAACGTGCAACCTGTGCCTAAAAAAGGTAGCCGTGCCGACCCTAATAACTACAGACCTATCTCGGTCACGTCCATACTCTGTAAGAGTATGGAACGTATACTGAATAACAGGCTCCTGGCATACCTTGAAGGTAACGTAGTGTAATCTCCTTAGTGATCAACAATACGGATTTCGCCGAAACCAATCTACTGGGGACCTTCTTGCATATGCCACCCACATCTGGAGCGAGGCCATCAAGAAACACGGGGAAGCGTTAGCTGTATCGCTCGATGTCTCGAAGGCCTTCGACAGGGTCTGGCACGATAGTCTTGTTGGCAAGCTTCCCGCATATGGACTCCCCACTGGTTTGTGCAGATAGATAACAGACTTCCTGAGGGATCGATCGATCCGAGTGGTCATTGATGGCTGCTCATCCAATCCACTTGGTATTAATGCCGGGGTTCCTCAGGGGTCAGTACTCTCAGCAACACTTTTTGTTGCACATTAATGACCTGCTCCAGCCCGGTATCTTTGGGTACGCAGATGACAGCACCGTCGTTGAGACTTGAGAGATATGTGTCCGATGCGCGAACCAGTGCAACTCAAATCCAGTCTCTGAGAGAATCTATGTTTATGTAGAATTGTTGTTTGACGTTCAAAAGTGCCATCCTGGTCTAATTGAAATAAATGATTTTGACTTTGACTTTGACTTTGACTATGGTAAATCGTCTGAACCTGTCCTTGCAGGCGGTCTCCGATTGGGGTGACGCCAATCTGGTCAGGTTCAATGCCAGCAAAACCCAGGCGTGTCTGTTTTCCGCTAAACGGAGTCGGTTCCCACTGACTCCTACTTTCCGAGGTGTGTCCGTTCCGATGGGTGACCGTCTCGAGCTTCTCGGCGTAACTCTGATGCCCATTCTCAATTTTGGCTCGTATATCGAGACAAAGGCGCAACTGGCTGGTAGAAAGTTAGGTGTCCTGTCGAGGGTGAGACGGTACTTCACGCCGGAGCAGTTGCTCACTCTTTACCAAATACAAGTTCGGTCGTGTATGGAGTACTGCTCCCATCTTTGGGATGGCTCGGCGAAATACCAGTTAGAAGCCCTCGAATCCATCGAGAGGCGTGCCAAGAAGCTGAATGACGAAGATCAATGACGATTCGCTTGTGGAGGCTCGGCTACAAAGCCTCGAACACAGGCGCAAAATCGCAAGCCTTTCGGTCTTCTATCGGATACATTTCGGTGAGTGTGCGTGGGAATTGCACAAACTTGTTCCCCCTAGTCTATTTCATCACCGTACCACCAGACGAACGGCGGGGCGCCACCCTTATTTGGTGGACATTCCACCCATTCGCACGAAGCGTTTCGCGTCAAGCTTCCTCATGCGAACCGCTAAGGAATGGAATTCCTTGCCAGAGGCTGTGTTTCCCGTCAAATATGACTTGAGTGTCTTCAAGTCCCGAGTGAACAGGTTGCTCATAGGTAGGCGTGCTCCATCGTTGGCCACATCATCGCTTACCATCAGGCGAGACGGTGGTCAAACGTCCACCTATAAAGTGTAAAAAAAAAAACAGGTAATCGACTAATGTATTAGATAATTCAGTAATTATTGCTGTTTCAGCATCATCACCGACAGTCAGGGCCGTCTTAGAATGTGCTGGGGCCGTTGGGCAAAATAATAATTTGCCTTTTTGGAACGTTTCTTTTTTTTAAATAGGCTGGTATTTCCACTTGCAATACCTTTGTTGCTACAGGTATAAACACTTGGAGGCAAATTGCTTACTGTCAAGTGACTCGTCTTCTTGCTTGCTACCTTGACAAATTTACGATTCTATAATAAGAGATTTGGTAGATACTTGTGTCTCATCAAGTCATCATTCATCATAGGTACATGTAATTTATTTTAACGTTGCGCATAATTGCATCTTAGATTAATGACTAATAAGTATCGCATGATAAGATGGCTAATTTGTAATTATTTTGTCCTATTTTTAGTAAATACATAGGTAAGTAATGATTTGCTGCATCATCGTTACATTTCATTTCTGTTCTGTCTATTACGGTAATAAGTACGGCTTATTAATTACTAGGTTCTATTAGCGGCTTCGCCCGCGGTCCCATGGTCCGGTCAGACCATAATCTACCCCTGTTCTGATCCATTCCATCCTGATCTCTTCATCCGTTTTGACGTGAAAGAGTAACAAGCAAAAATACTAACTTTCGCATTAATAATATTAGTAGGATGGCCGTTACTTACTTATATAATTAACAGAAACCAGGCACGCATTAGTAGAGTTCTCTGTTAAACCTGGACTTACCTGGACCTTCTCCAGCCTGTCTGCCAAGTAGGCGTAAAGATTATGGTACATTCGCATAAGTAGGTAGATGAGTACTTACCGAAGTCAAAAGACCACGTGCCGTGGATAATGATGAATTAAGCAAAGTAAAATGACCTACTTAGATGTTACTTTATTTTATTTTAAAGATCAAAATAATGCATATCATCTACAAAGATCAAACTAGAAAATAAAAAGCGCGAACTATGCTATGAACGATCGGCGCGAAATTTTGCTAAATGTTACCAGTTTTCAATACCTACAGGGATAAATTCGCAATTAATTTTAACATTAACATCAATTAATTTTGTTTCGGACAAAACTAAATTATGCTTATAAATAAAACATAAACTGTTAGGTAAGTAGAAATTCATGTAATTTACCTATGCAAGAAAGATTGTAGTATGTGTGATTAAGTAACTATGTGATTAGTTAATGAAACAAATAACTAGAAAATGATTGTATTCACATTATAAAACTTTTCTAAGAACTCAAAAAAATATTTTTGCCTCTAAACTAATATGTTATCACCTAATGATGCACATTGGTAATTAAAACATAACAATTTTGTGAATATAAAAATAAAAATCCTAGATATCCAACTTAAAACAGTAATTTATTTTGTTCTGGCAGCACCGAACATGACAGGTGTTTACGCGCCAAACAACAATGGTTGCTTGCTAACGTTTGATAAAAGTTTTTGATGCACGTTTTTTATTGCAATTTACGTATTTTCTAAACTAAAAACCGTTTTAACTGTTCATTTAACGTTTATTAACTTTGTTAGAGCTACAATATGTAGCAGTACTATCAAGAATTGAGTAGAAATTGTATCGAGTTGTGAGACTGGATCACCGATACGTTGAGAGTGCCGTGTCCTATTTCATGTTTTATAGTTAATTAAGGTCAGCTATTCGGTCATAGAAATGGCTGCGACGACTCCTAGGCGGTCGACGCGGATTCCGCATACTCATACACCGAAAATGTCTGAGCGTAAGAAGGGGTTATTTCAACGGGAGGAGTTACCTTCGCGGGAGTCACTGACTACGCATAGGAAGCTGCCGGTGGTGGATAGCGAGAGTGATAGTGAAGATTGTGACTTGGGAATCATCAGTACGTTAGATTCCAGCTCTGACGAGAATGACCAGAATGTTCCCAAGACTCCTGAGAGAAGCTTGTGGCGTAAGTTTTTTTGCTTAACTTCTAACATCTACTAAACAAACTCGTGTTATTATTGTAAACAACACTTTAAACAGACAGCTGAAGGGCTTAATTCGTCTATCAATGTGGTATTTCTTTCCTATCTATGTAAGAGGTCTGAAGTCCTTGAATTTGACTTGAAAGTTAACCTTGTATACTATTTTCCTGTCTGTGACACTTTGTTTGTATGCCACTTGCATTAAACTTCATTTTCGTACATTGTAAGGGCTGTTTTAGCGAATGATTTATGTTGACGCTTGTACTGTTCATATCAGGAACTTCATTTACATTTGTTATGTTATTTACCTAATTTTAACTAAAAGTTGAAGAATAATTTTGCAAGAAACAACTGTTTGCAACAACAGTAGATGTACTCCTACTTTATTGTATTATGCAGTTACAAAATCATATTTTCATCAAAATTAGGGTTGGTTTTGAGTTTCAACAAGGTTAATTTGAATCTATGATTAATGAAGAGGTCATACTAAGCGTTTATCATACTAACCTATCATGTAACACAAAACTTTACTCAGTCTAAATCAATCTGAAGTTTTTGCTCTGATGGTGAGAGACCGCTTACTTTATCTTCTTATTTGTTTAGATTAGATGCTTGTGCTGATAACAATCTTCACTATTATTATATATGCAAAAGATTGTATGAATGTTCATCAGGTAAATTAAAGGTGCAGGCTAGGATATATATTTTAAGATAGTGTGTATAGGTCTCTCTATCAAGCTATTATATTGAGCACACAAATGACCATATAAGTACTTAAAATACTGCCTCACAGTGGTTGTTGTGCAACTGCCAGGCAAGGGGTCTCGGGTGCTATTCCTGAGACAGGCAGTATTATTGTTTTTTTGTAATCTCAGTAGTAGCATGGAGTTTGGAACTGTGCCCGGTATATGGCAATAGGCTTACCCCCTATTACATGAAACCCCTAACATAAATAGTGAAAAGTGGGTGTTACATTGTACAGTGCTAATATTATGTTATTACTTCGATCAACAATAACAACTAGATATCGGGTCGGCGCAAGAAAATCGTCTCGACAAATAAGAGCTCACTTGAGAAGTGAGCTCTTATTTTGTTTAGTATGCTCCAAACATGGCCAACGTACTCACGTCTCACGAGTAATTGCAAGTTGCAAAAATAACAACCGAAAAAGCAGTATAACGGCCGGAGTGTCTTACTTTTGATAAGTACATAAAGTATAAGTTATATTTTAAGCTTTTAAACTAGTAAATAATATCAAATTAGACAAAATTATCAATTATAAACCAACGCCACCAATGTTTGTGCGTGTGTTGGCGATTCCTTGGCCAAGTCTCGCCAACATTTGTATAAACAGAACAGTGGATGCATGGAGTCGATTTGTATTGAAAAAATAAGAAATTGTATCGTTTCTTGCTCGTTCTTCTCCATAGGAATCTACACCTTGGAATGAGCAAATAGCTTCACTTTTAAATTTATATTGTTGTTGTTCAAAAGTGCCTTCCTGGTATAACTGAAATAAATAATTTTGACTTAGACTTAGACTTTTAACGATAAAGTAAATAAACATATCATACACAAAAACGTACCGCTAATAAAAATTAGTGATGTATACTAAGATCCCGAAATGTTAATTTTCATATTATAAAATTATTTTAGTGTCCAACGCGACTCCATACATACCTCCTGTAGCGAAATTCGAAATTTGAAGAAGCAAAACGAAACAAAACAAAACGATATAGATCGCAAGACAATAATGGAAAAATTATCTTTATTTGTTCGACCTTAAGGTTGAATTCAAACTAGATATTGTATAACTTATGTCTTTTAATTTCTACATGACAGGAGTAAGAAAATACTTTTCTTGTCTTATGTGACGAATGGTCGTAAGTATTAGATAATATTTTGACGATTTATGACTTTATAATTAGGTGCCATGGTTGCTATTAGGTTGAACTTAAAACTATTTTAAAACATTTTTCTCTGTTTGTTATTTTTTTACTATTATTATTCACACGGACAGAACTGGAGCTTGATTTTGTACGTAACCCTTTATCTAGTTGTTATTGTTGATCGAAGTGTTATTACTTAAAATCATTCAGAAATAATTATGTTCTACACAAGTTACCATCAATATAAAATGGTGACCTAAATATAACGCTCCTAATCACTGATTACTAGTAATTACTGAACCAGATGTTTTATAATCACAACTAGGTCAAAATCAGACTATCTAGCAATGATTAGTTTTATACGGCGTCACTGTAATTAGAGTGGACATTGATATGTATAAAATTAATTTATCAATGCCTTATTATTTCATTTCAAAGTTTTAGTAGTAGTTACAGTTTGAAATCTAGATCTTAATTTATACTTAACTATCCACTACCGCGGGATTTCATTCGCTCTGCTCAGCTCCTATTGATTGTAGTGTCATGTATTATTTATAGCCTGTAGCCTTCCTCGATAAAAGGGTTATAAATTACAAAAAGATTTTTTCAAATAAAACAAACTCATTGCAAAGAATATCTATACAAATGCCTAATAAAATTGTAGAAAACTCAAAACTGAATTTAAATATATGTTTTAAAAGAGTCCTTGTGACATGATCAACAATAGATATTGAAGCCAAAAATATAGTTTTTAGAATTTTTGTCTGTTTGTCTGTATGTAATTCCGAGCTAAATTCAAAAAGTACTGCATAGATTTACTTCAAGTTTCGCATGAATATTACTGATAGATCGGGTCAATAAATATGCTACATATTATCGCGCTGTCACCTTCGAAGGTGACAGCGCTGTAAAGATCTATCCAAGTTACTCTTCCACGCGAACAAGGTCGCAGGCATCACCTAGTATTCCAATACAAAATACACAACAAAGAACTTCAATTCCTGTTATGATATGAGGCTAAAATAACCATTGATTTAATCTCAATTTTAAAACTTATATTTATTTTATTTTACTTAAGTTACCATGAGCAAAGTACAAACAAGCATTGTATGCAAATTCTATATTATATTCCATTATTTTAATTACATTTATAACAATAAGCGACCGTCATATCCAGCTATTATTCATAATATCATTTATTTTTATTCGCAGATGAAACAAGAAGCCAGACTCGTAAGCTTCTGAAGGAAAGCAATGATTTGAAGAATTTTATCAAGTCTCCATTCACTTTGAAGAAATATCAGACAAGGTATTGTCCGGAGTCAAAATGTTCTGGTTCAGTATCCACTCCGGCTACTCCACACCTGAACAACCACCCTGGTACCCCATCTTCTACGCACTCATGTGCCAGTGTCCACACAACATCTTCTACCTCAAGCCGGGCTCGCAAAAGCCTGGCCAGTCTCATCGCAGACACAGAAAGCTGCAGCAGCTCTCTAAAAGACCTAAACTTTGACACCGATTCAGGCACAGATTCTAAGGAAAATACACCTACAAAATCTTTAAGGAGATCCAATAGAAGGAATAAGCTGACTCCAAAATTCCACAGCTTCAAAGGCATACTTCTAGAACAGAAGAAAAATGTCTCCCCAATGAAAAACGCAGTGGTTTGCTTGACAAAAATGGACATGAATAGTATTATATCCCCTACACAGATGCAGAAAACTCCTCAAACGACAGACGCGGGTCCTTCGCCCCCCAAGTTGGGACACAACCGTCGTTCCGTCATTGAGATTGGTGAAAGTCCTGAATCGGCTTGTGACAGCGAAAAGAGCAACAAGAGACTACGGAACGATAGTCTTTCGGAACACGGTCCAAATTCTAAGTACCCTAGACTGGAAAATGCTCCTAAAGCACGCCTGTCGTTGTTCAACAGCGACAGGCTGAAAGAAATCTTATCTGCTAAGTCGTTCTACGGGAAGAGCAACCCGGACCTGAATACCAACCTAACAGCCAAGATTTCGCATGCGATTGAAGCTACGACCAGCAACAGGCGTTTAAGACATTCGCACTCTCATAGGCGTAAGAGGAAGCCGGGACAGATTAATTCAGGAGTGAGACATAGGATCAGGAAGCCGAAGTATAACAAGAGTAAGGTGATGAAGTACCAGAATGCTTCGTTGAATAGTTCCATGTTGAATGACACCGTCATTTCGAATCCTAATGTGACGGACGCGTCAATGGTCAGCCAGAACTCGTCGCAGGAACTCTGTAATGGTAAGTGCTTATTGTTAGCGTGTGAACATCATTGTATGCCCTCTGAAGTTTACATTTTCGGTGTACAAGTAAAATTAATTAGTATCTGTGTTTTGTTTGTGTAATTAATTGTTTTCATTGAAAATATTATTGTGGTTGCGTCGCGTTGTCGTGTGACCTTCGGAACGTTTTTTGAGCCATTGTGAGTAGATTACTCGTTAGATTTTTCAGTATCATTGTCTCATTAGAATCGAGTCTTATGCTTAGTTAATAAGCTTAGTAATAAAATAAATAATTTGGCGATTGTCAACTTTATTACGACAGACAGGATTATTATGAAGCTGCTTTATAACTCTAGCAGTTGGAAGTGTGACTGCCGAACAAGATGTCTTTGATTCGATGCCCAGGTCAAATGTATAAATGAATTTCGATTATGCAAATATATGAATTATTTAGCGGAATAGAAAAAGAGGTCACGATAATTATGAAAAGGATTAAAAATAATATTTCCTAAAAGTTTTTGCCACGATTCTTAATATAAGCTTTTGGTAATTTAAAAGATGATGCATTTTTTCTCCTACATTTCAACACATGCAATAACTGATTGATTGATCATTACTTCATTACTAAAGCTCATTAGAGCATAATAATATTTTTTCTTAAATATTATATCCTGGTTTAGTTTTTCGTCATGATATTATTTAAAAACTCTGTATCATGACTACACAAAAGTACAGTTTCAAATCTTAAATCCATTTAACGATCGTTGCTCTATGTAAGAAAGGTTGTCACCAAGCAATGGGACATTTTTATTCATGTGTTTCACAATATATTTGATAGTTTGTTGAAGTCTTAATTAACGGATAATTAGATATATTTTCGATATAAAATGTGTTAAATTAAAATGCATATCAGGTAGGGTATCAATGATCTAATTAGACATTATGTAATACGCCTTTAGTCTTCAATAGCACAGATATGGAACCGTGAACGACCTTTACCGGGGCTCTAGCTCAAAGCAATAGGAACGGGATGGTTTTGAGTCAGTAATCTAAGAATCTACTGCGTCTCGCCTCGCCCAAGGCGGGGGGAAGTCTGATGGAGAGAAGTCAAATAGAAGTTGGATCATTTTACCCCATCAAAAGTTTTCAATATCATTACATAGTATAAAACAAAGTCGCTATCCGCCGTTTGTCTGTCTCTATGTACGCTTCGATCTTTAAAACTACGCAACGGATTTTGTGATTCTTAAAGAAGGTTTATTATATATATATAATACATGCATATTGCACCTGTGCGAAGCCAGGGCAGGTTGCTAGTTAGTTATAATTATGACATTTTTCATTTTCTTTCTCCACAGACAAAGCAGATCCGTTTGACAAAGAGAAACAAACAATCGAAGCCCTATTAAGTCAATGGACAGAGGAAGACATTCCGGAATCCGAACTGTCATATTCAAAACCCATGCAAGAGCTACCATGTTTCAACAGCACAGTTATAGAAGAAACCAAACAAATATTCCAACCAATCACAGCTGTGCCAGTTAACATGGCAACACTGCCACAGGATAACGAAGCTGTTATTGTGGAATTGGGTTGCCAGAAAGCAATAACACCGCAGAATAATTGTCTACCGTCGACGGTAGAGCCGTTACCACAAGTGGCATTACCACCAACGGTAGCACCTTTGACTACGTTGTCACGAGTGACGGTGCCATCAATAGATCTGACTTTGCCACCTTCGGCTACGAATGACGTGGTTATGACAGAAGTGGACGGCCATGCGCAGAGCCATGGCGAGCTGCCCAAGAGTGGACAATTTTTGCCTGTTGAAGGCGGATATATCCTGGTTGAAGAGAACGCTGTGCAAGGTAATTTAAGTTCTAATATTATTTCGTTAATGTGGCTACGTCGTGCCGGTTGTATTTAGTTGACAAGCTTACAATAAGGCTGGGTTGTACCAACTTACTTTAACAATAACAAATGTCAAAATTTCTGTTAAAGTATCGGTTAGGTCATAAGAGTATGCTGAAAGAAGTCTTCAGATAGTTCATTCTCGCTTTTGTTGACATCCATTCTATTTTTTAATTTTAATATTCAAGTGAATAGTGCGTGGCTTTCTATTATTGTTTGGCTATATATCTAGTGATTGTGTGTGCTTACTCATTGGCCACAGCCCACAAGTATGATTGAGTGAGTAGTAAATCTCATGTTCGATCCCCGACTTCGTCATCCAGTCAGTGTTCATGGAGTTTCTTGCTCGTTCTTCTCCACTCGAATCGACATTTTGGAACGAGCGCCTAGCTTCACTGACGGACAGACTGACAGACTATTATATATTTCATATTTGTTGACGTTTCAAAAGTACCAAATTATGGTTTAATTGAAATAAATGCTTTTGAGTTTGAGTGTTAACCGTGCAATACATTACAACATAACATAATTATTTTTTATACAATTCACAACCTTTTATTAACCAATTTCGAAATAAGAAAGAGGTTCTCAATTTGACCTGATACCTGAATGTACGTATTAATGTTTGTTCGCGATTAACTCGTGTTTGGCTGAATCGATTTCGATGCAGTTTTCAGAAAAGTGTATGTTACACCTAGGAGAAGGGATTAATAAATCGACTTCAAAATTGAGGGGGTTGAAGTCTGTTTTTTAAACGTAGTTTATAAAAGAATTAGATACTTGCCTTGCCTACAACTAGCCAAGTTCAATACTTTTTTCGAACCGTCAACAACGACAGCTTTCTATGAATTGTGTACGAGATTGTGTATTGAGACGCCCCTTTTTTTAGCGTCACACAGCAGACTTATTTCTTAAGAACTTGCTGGAAAAATACTAACATTAAGTTGGTCATAAAATCAATTAAGGAAAGTACCCAATTATTATACCACAATATCGACCACAGTTACGTCTTAACGGTCTAACTAAAGTCAAAGTTCACTTTTAATATCCCTTTACAAACACAGGTGGTCAAACCATTCACTTAGCAGACCCCTAAATATAAGTATTACTAGTACGGGAAAAGACAGCTGTTGGCCTTACAAAGTATAAAGAAACTGGTTTTCTAACTTAGGGGTTGCATGGTCATTGGTATTTTGAATGTGTATTCACATCCGACCCGGGAATCGAAACCGAGACCTTGTGTTTTAGTTGCAAAAGTTAAGGATGTGAGATTTATTTTTGCAACTGTCATGGAGAGGTTTCACTGTATAGATAGTGTTCTTCGGATTCAGTAGTATAATACTTATTTTTAACTTTAAATGTATTAAAAACTTGTTTCATGTATTTTGAAGATGTTGTTAGCTTAAGTGACATAACCATCAAATGTGGCGTTGTAGTAATAATAACATACATAACATAAAATCACGCCTTTTATCCCCGAAGGGGTGGGCACACCTAGGAGGTACACCTCTGCCTACCCCTTCGGGGTATAACTGGGATAACTGGATAATTAATGTACACATTATGCCACTGTACAATGTAACACCCACTTTTCTCTATTTATATTATGAGTCCCATGTAATAGGGGGTGAGCCTATTGCCGTATACCGGGCAAAATTCCAGACTCCGTGCTACATAAAAACTCAGTAGTACTTTGCCTGACCCGAGATTGTAGTAATAAGAAAATATGTAGAACTAGCTATTGCCCGCGACTTCGCGTAGAATATGTATTTTATTTGAATTTATCCCGAGGGAACATTTACTTGGAATAAAAAGTATCTTTTAATCTTAGTCAGCACATTACTCTGTCTGTACCTCTATAGGTACTAAATGTCATCAAAATCTATTCAGTAGTTCCAGCGTGATTTACGAAATAACAAGCATCCAAATAAAGAATATTTAAAAAAAAACTTTGCCCCACACTAGGATTTTCTCCTGTGTCGTGGGTGCGTTTACAAACATACAATTTCACATACACATGACACCCAGACCCGGAACAACAATCTGTGGATCACACAAAGAGTTGTTACTCTTTTAAAACTCTCTTAAGAAACTTTCGCATTCATAATATTAGTGTAGATAATAAATCAATAAAGGAATAGATAAATCTGTCGGTCTGCCCAGCCGTCCTCAAGTCTTCTTTAATAACAAGTTTACAAATTAAAAGTTACCCATTCCTTGCACTCCAAACTTTTTCGTTTGATCTTTGAAAGACACCATACAAAATCGAAACTCCACAAAATCGTATAAATTCTTTTACAAATACATAATAAAAATATTGAATATTTCAGCGCAAGAAGTACTACCGGACTTGGACGAGATCGAGCGCGAACTGAAGATGCTGGACGAACAGATACTCAAGATGGCGGAGTCTAACAATATCAACCCTGACGCCGTGCTAGCATCCACTGAGACCATACCAGCAGTTGGCAAAGGTAAGAAAATATACATCACATCACGGCATTTACTATGGGATAGGGGTGGCGAACGGGACTGACGGATCACACATGGCAGTAAGAAATCAGTGCACCGTACACGTACGTGGTACCGTGGCCACCCGGAGCACTAGATGATTTAAAGTGCGTTACCGTCCTTTAGGGAGGCAGGGCACTAATTAATAAGCAGATATGCTTAAATATTTATATCCCAAGAGGCATTTAAAAAGTGCATTGGCACTTTTGGCATATATACTCAATCTCATATACTGATATAAAAGGCCTTGCCGTTTCGAAAGTTCTACATGTGAATTAATTTAAACACATTACTCAGACAGAACTTCTGAAATGAAATAGCTTAATAAATATTTTCTCGACTCAGAAAGTTAACGTCAAACCTTTGACTTAGCACAGTCGCGCTTGCGAGCACTCATCCTAATCAGTATTCTAGTAAAAGTGTAATATGCTAAATTCGCGAGCGAATAGGGTGCTTATAGGCAGACGTGCTCCATCGTAGACCGCATCACCGCTTTTCCAGGCGAGATACTGGACAATCGTTGGCCCACCAAATATAAAAAAAAATCTTGAAGAAGAAATCTCATTAGAATAATAAAATAAAAACTGCGTTCAAAAAACCAAAAACTATGGCACCGACTTCTTACCTATCAGTGGGTGGGTAACCTATCAGTACTAATAATAGTTATTTTTTGCTTTTTAGTTTTGACTTTTTGTTTGTTATTAGTTTTTGGTTTTTTGAAGTCGGTTTTTTAAACGCAGTTTTTATTTTATTATTTTATCATTTTCAGTGTAAAGCTACATAATTATACCCGTTTTGTTACTTATAATCTACATAGGTGCAAAGTTCTAATCAATACAAATTATACAAGCCCAAACACAAGGTAGTTACAGTATACCGTTGAGGAGTTCCCTTAACAATTACACTTCTTCATCATCAGACCCTTAATGACAGCCACACTCTATCCAGGTGTAAAGTCCTCATCAATACAAATTAATCAAGCCCAAACACAAGGTAGTTACTGTATACCGTTGAGGAGTTCCCTTGACAATTACACTTCTTCATCATCAGACCCTTAATGACAGCCACACTCTATCTAGGTGTAAAGTTCTCATCAATACAAATTAATGAAGCCCGAACACAAGGTAGTTAATATAAACCGTTGAGGAGTTCCTTCGACTGTCTGTCGGCTTTATCATCAGGTCGACTCCAGACCCTTATCAAATTGTAGTGTTTAAAAATCGTAATTGAAAAACATAATAGACGCATTACTCGCCCATAGAATTTTCGAAAGTTCCCCTCGGTTTCCCTAGGATCCCATCATCAGATCCTGACTTCATGGAAATGGGACCATCTCGGGAGTATACCTTTTCAAACAAAACAAGAATTTTGCAAATCGCTTCACGCATCTCAGAGTTATGCGCGTAAATACATACAAAAAAAAAGCAACATACCGGCCGAACGTATAACCTCCTCCTTTTTTAAAGTCGGTTAAAAAATATACTTGCATGTAAAATACCTAATTAATCTTCCTAATAATATCAATCTAAATCATTTAGAAGCACGGCAGGCAAGGGAAACCGCGTTGAAGTGTATAATTAATGCTCCACACAGCACCAAATTGCGTTTAAACAGCATTAAATTATAATATTATAGTAGGTAATTAAAAATTATAATCATTTGTGAAAATGTTCAGATTAATGTACCATTGTTCGTAAGTTTTTTTGTTTCAACAAAGCCCAAGGTCGTTTTACACGCACAGATATTGCATTTCGTTTTTATTTAATTTAAATATAACTCATAATAATGAAATGATAAATTAATGAATGAAATAAATTACTGCTTCGTTGGCCGAGTTGTCGCAAGTGCGACTAGAACTAGGGGTCTTAGTTTCACTTCCCGAGCCGGGCAAAGTATTAAAGGATTTTTAAAAAATTCTCAGTAGCACGGAATCTGGTATTGTGCCCGGTATATGCAACAGGCTCACCCTCTATTACATGGGACTCATAACATAAATAGTGAAAAGTGGGTGTTTCATTGTACAGTGGCATTGAAGTGCCGTACTGTGCACCTCTGCCTACCCCTCCTGGGATATAAGGCGTTTAAAAGTTTCAAACTGCGGTCTCCAATCGGCCTGCTAGACTTTGCATGTAGTTGAGCAAAGGAGGGTAGCTTCCTATATTTTAATGTCCGTCTGGTACATTAATTTAAAACTTTAGACACGTATTTTTTATTTTCTCACAAAATTAAATACTTTCGACGATATATTAATTTGAAATATCGTGTGACGTCACAGCGTGCTACGTTTTGTAGCACGTTATGACATAACGACCACCCACTCCTAAACTTAATACGAGAAAATAAAAAAATACCTACGTGTCTAATATTTTTCATTATATCTGAAGGACTAATTAAATTTTTAATTTTGATACCCTGGAAACTACCCAATTGAAAAGTGTTCTTCTAGTTGGTAACACATTTGTGATGCCTCTGGTATTGCAAGTATACTTAAGCTACGATGACTGTTTGCCATCAGACTAGCCGTAAGCTTTGTTGCTTTAAACTGTCAAACACCAAGCGGTCACCGGTGACCGCAACCTATTGTTCTATAATTGTGTCTACAAAACCGGTACTCGACGAGTTAAACCGTTAAATTATTATACAAAAAAGTCCTCTTTCGCGACGTGTCTGTGTTAAAGACATAATCTCGAAAACTACTGAACCAATTTTAGTCTACAGTTCACATAACAAATAGACTGTAGTGTGATTGGAATGATTAGTGGAATGTTTATGTTTGTATTTGTACATAGGGTTTTGTACCACGAAAAGCCAGTTTTAACAAAAAAAATCTTTATTTATTTTGTTCCAGATGTTCCCACGACGTCTACAGAAACTAGTGACAAGTCTGACAAACCTAAATTGTTCCCCATATTTGACAAGCCCAACCCTGGCATCGTTGTTACTGGCAACTCGAAAGGTAAATACCATTTACTTATTTTAAAATTAAAGGAATAATGGAAGATTACATCGTTTTATCCGTTTATCACATTATTTTAAAAAAAAAAAAACCATGGAGTTTCTTATCTGCATAATAAATACTTTTTCTTCTGTTCTTGTTTTAAACCCACACTCGGATTTTCTCCTATCGTGGGTACGTTTACAGACATACAATTTCACATGCACATGACACCCAGACCCAAAACAACAATTTGTGTGTTGCTTCATGTAGTAATTCAACCTGATACACAGTGCGCTGCAGCTGGTTGCCCAACCATGGCCAGCAGTCGCAGTCAGATACTGCATGGTTGGCCACTATGATCTATTCTATACTTACTGTGTAAACTATATTCAGTTTTATGTCTTTTCTTATCAGGTGGAGACAAGAGTAAACGCTTGATCAAGACTGGAGATGACCAGTATGTGATAGACGCTGGACAGAAGAAGTTTGGAGCCACACAGTGCACTGAATGTGGGACTATCTATCAGGTATATATTTTATAGTATTGCCCTTAACATTTTCAGAAAATTATTACTAACTGTTGCTGTATGCTGTATGCTGCAGGAACTGGCAATTAGGTTCTTTTCTTAGTCAAAATAAATTAGTAAATATAAAAAAAATAATCACACTTTAATTTATTGATTTTATATCCAACTTAATTTTAGTATATTTCCACCATATTTTTAAGAAATACGTATGCTGTTCGGCGCAAAAAAAACGTGACGTCGCACAAAATTCATACATAATCTCGTACAAAATTCATAGAAAACTGTCGTTTTTGACAGTTCGAAATAAGTATTGAATTTGACTAGTTGGCAAGTAAATGTGTAATATTGATTATTTGCTTCCAGATCGGTGACCCTCAAGATGAACATGATCACTTGGTGCATCACAATGCCACTGACGTGTTGAAGTTCAATGTAAGTTAAATTTTAACATACACCCACAACACACGCAATTTAAACTTAGTTTAGTATACGTAACGGCGGAAAGTCATAACGGGTTGCCGGGCTCCGGCTCGACGAGCAAGAGTAGGAACAGGGTGGATTTTAGTCAGTAAAAGTCTGACACTCCCTCTCGCCTAACCCAAGGCGGGAGAAGTAATTGGATAACTTTTCACCCTCAAAAAAAAAAAATACTTCAGTACTCACTATTTAGAGACATCATTATAATTAGGGTGAATTAGCATATCATATCTGTCTAATCTATACTTCTATTATTAAGCTGAAGAGTTTGCTTTTTTGTTTGTTTGTTTGAACGCGCTAATCTCCGAAACTACTGGTCCGATTTGAAAAATTCTTTCTGTGTTTGGTATCCCAATCATCGAGGAAGGTTATAAGCTATAAGATATCACGCTACGATTAATAGGCGCCGAGCAGAGCGAGTGAAACCGCGCGGAAGTAGCTAGTTAAGCTATAAAGCCAATTCAGTCAATCAAATGTTTTAAAAAGTCATGTCAGTTCTTTACAAGTATGCAAGTATTTTTTTTAATTCACCCAAGTATTTTAGTTGTATTTTGACTAAATGTTGCATTGTTTCTTGGCTATGCTATAACTAACAAAATGATTAAAATTTCCAGGGTTTCAAAGACGAATGCATAGTGGACAGGCCGAGTCCCACAGAGCGGTGCATCCGCATACGAGGAGGAGAGAATGGGTGGAAGAAAGTGGAGCAATTACTAAACAGAGTCGTACATCCTCACCTGGGGTATGGGAACGAACTTCCCAAGGACCAGATACATGCCTTTACGGTGAGTTTTTGTTATATTCTATTGTACAGATCTTAGACAGTGGAAATGGCGTAAAAGAAATTTGTCACCGCTTCTATTCTAACTGCAGATGTCGTTAGAGCTGAGGGATAACTGATAAACTTGACCTTTTTTGAATATGATCTCTAACTTGTTCACTCAGTGCTGTAAGAAGGTATACCTAATAAGATATGTCTGCCTGCCTGGTTGGCCAAATGGTTAGAAGTGTGGATTGAATAATTCCTAATCCCCAAAAGGCCGGTAACGCCTCTGGTGTTCCGGGTGTCCATGGGCGACACCGATTGCTTACCAACAGGTGATCCGTTTGCTCGTTTACCAGCTTATCCCATTAAATAATACATCTTAAAATATTCAATTTCTTTCCAGGCTTACTTATACGTAGATAAGAAACAAATAGTGGGTTGTTTGATTGTGGAGCCCAAGTTGCGCGCTTACAAGCTGATCCCTGGCGACCCTGACTGCTGCAGCGTCGAGGGCTATTCTGTCAAGTAAGTAATACTTGTAATATTTTATTAAAATTATGATGTAGATTGTTAACTGTTGACCTGGCTAAAGATAAAGTTTGAAAGTGTAATGTAGGATTTGGCGCTCTATAATCCAGCTGCCAAGCGTTAGTTTTGTCGCGGAGAACCTAACGGGTAACCGGGGCTCCGGCTCGACGTGCAGGAGAAGAAACGGGGTGGTTTTTAGTCAGTAAGAGTCTGACACTCCCTCCCGCCTCACCCAGGGGGCAGTCATTCGATGATTTTCCCCCCTTAAAAAAAAAAAAAGCGTTAGTTTTAGTGCAAACCCTAATATGTAGGGGAGGTCCACACCCAGCAGTAGACTGTCAAAGATTTTTGATGATGAGAGAGAGGAAATGAGAACCAGATTGGATTTGGCTGATATCTGTAAAGTATAACTTGATCATTATATTAATTTACCAAATTGTCACTTGCTATAATCTGTCAAATCGAGCGCCAAGCAAACACTGCCGTATCATCCTTTACTGGAACCATTTCGCCGCATTTTCAGATCCCTATTTAAGAACCTCTGGATAAGACCAGAACGCAGAAACTTTCGTTATCCAGTACGCTATAATCACATACTTAAAATCTAAAATTTCCAGTCTACAGGTCATTTAGTTCCGAAGTTAAGCGAAAGCAAAGTTTCGCATTTATGACACTTACTCACTCATGATCATCAAAATAGAACTAGTACTTCCCATAACCTCAGAGAGCTGAAATTTGGTACAGAGTTAGGGTTTTATGGCTACTATAAAAACACACACAACTTTAACTATAATAATAACGAAATCGCAATAAGGAACCTTAGACTTTGTTATATTTCATTACTTTTTAGAGACAAACTAGCGGCTCCATCGAGGCCTGGCTAGTTTTATACATAATGTTTTTGGTGGGATTAAACTATACCTGTGTTACTTTTCTTCTTTGACTAATGGTTATTTAAAACTCTTGCAGATGCGGTGTATCCCGAATTTGGACGCATATAAACCACAGGAGGCGTGGTATTGCAGCTCGCCTATTATCTTGCGCTAGGGCTTCCTTCCTGTACGGTGAAGCCCTAAAAGTGACTGACATCGCCTTTAGCGCTCCTACGGCGGCTGGCAAAGCATTCGCGACCAAATACTGTGGAACGTCAAACTTCTACGTATATTTGGAATAAGGACAGCCAGTATAAGTGTTAAAATACTTTATAGAGAGTGTATTTGTGTTCAATAAGTTCGGTTTGAAACTCAAACTCCATGACGTGTAAATATGAATATGAAGTGTTTTTAAGTGAAATTACGTGTTTTTGTTGGTATTTAGCTTGGTTGCAGTGTGTGAATGTAGTTTAATAGGTTTTCTATAGTAATTTTGACGGTTTTTGAGGTCCTCACTCCATTATAGACCTTATTACTGATGTCTAGAGACTACTTTTGTATGAACAAATGTGGTGGATTTAGAAGTGTTAAGTTTCTGTTCCATTGTCAGTAAGATTACAACAATTTTCCTATCAAAACTTGTAGTTATTACTATAGAAAGCCTACACTACCACTAGCCAGCTAAAATAATACCAGCTAATAACAAAATTTTCATAAATATGTGTGTGAAGTGCAAAAAACAAGTCTACCTCAGTGTGTGCAAACTGGAGTGCATTTGTGACTATTTTTAACTTAAATGTGTTCTAAGTTATAACATAATGGACAATAATTAATGCATAGAATGCATTAATATGTAAAATTTCGTGTTTTATGAACTCTTTTGTTGAATTCTTGTGTTGATAATGTGGCTGTATTATTATACTTTGATTTATATTGTGGAAAATTACAATGATGTGTGAAACAAGGGCATTAATAGGTTTAAAAGTTACTGTAATGCTAAAAATGTTTCTGTAGAAATGTTGCAAAACTGGTTCATATTTGTGTTTGTATAATACTAAAATACGATTTCAATGGTAAACAGTTTTATGATTGCAATAAAAATGGTTAAAAAGTATAATTTTAACTGTTGTTCGTAAAAGATTATTATGGTGAAAAACAATGATTTTAATAATTAACATTTTGCATGCCTTATTGCTGTTTTTTGAAACTTTTTCTCGAGGAGCATGTTTAAAATAATGTTTTTATTTAAAAGACATAAATATTCTAATAAGAATATTATTTTTGATACTATTTTCTTGTTGTTGCATGACAAAATTATTGCCAAGTGATTACTTTGGGTCCAATTAGGTCTATTTTAAAATAAGCTATATATTAAACCTTCAGTCAAGTGTTTGATTTGAGTAATTGTCCGTTGCTGTTACTATAATCTTTACTCAATTTATAAAAAATGTAATATAAATTGTACTTCGTCCGGCTAAGAGCCAAGACTATTTGATAGTGCATCAAGTACTTTATACAACTGAAAATGTTTAGTCTCTTAGGAGTCAGTAACAATTATTAGAACAATCCTAATACAAATAAATTAATTGAGAAATAGTGCTAACTCTACTAGTTTTGTCAACTTATATTTATGAGAAAAAGACGCGCATTATCGCTGCATAGTCAACAGTTGACTGTAACAACCATGTTTTTCAATTAATTTACTATACCCCACGATAGTTATTACCGTTCTTACACAAAACACATAAGCTAGAATAAAACTTAGTATAAAAGGTTCTAAGAAATTAGAAATATTTAATTTTTGATTAATTATAAGACAGTGCCAATGTTGATTTTAAAGTCGTTAGATTAAGTTTTACGTGCCTCAAGTAATTTAAGTCTATTTCTAAGTGTAAATTTAAGATTTTAGACGATTTTTAACGATTTTTGAAAATATTACTGTAATTTTTGAGTTCAATTGTGGCTTATAAGAATTAATTTTGAGATGCATTTTTGAGATTTCCTCATTAAAGAGTTTTTAATTTTGATTTATTTTTTATGCTACCACTTGATGGTCATTCTTTACTTTTATTCTATTAAACCAGACAACAAATCTTGAATTACTACACTAGATTATTTTAAAACTAGCTTCACCCTGTTTCCAATGGGATAAAAAGTAAGTATATAATATATCCTACTAGATAGTCCAGCCTGTTTCAAATTTTATCACAGTCCGCTCAGCTGTTTTGACGCGATTGAGTGACATATACACAAACTTTCGCGTTTATAATATTAGTAGGATTGTTACACATACCTCAATAGTTTCAAAGCATGTTTTTACGCTTTTATACATGTAAGTTCAGGACAGTACGCTTATATTTAAGATTTTTCATAAGTTAGAATAATTTGTTAGTAGCCCCCAAATGGGCAGGCTTGTGAAACGACTTAATACTCTTAATGATTTTATTGAATTTGTTTGATTGTAACTTGTCCATGTTTAGAGCTTAGCACAGGTTTTTGTAATTTATAAACTGTTTTAACTCATCAATATGATGTTCTGATTTTACTGATATTTCACTTAATCTCTATTATAACAATTGGGTAGTTATCCTTGGCCAAAATCAAATTGATTAGACTTCAACACTAGTAATTCTGTCACTGATATTGGTCTATTTGACGCTAAAAATTGACGTTAAAACTCAAATCGTACGTAAAATTTCATAGCAACTTTTTTCCATTTCGAAATGGGTATTGAATGGGACTAGTTGGAGAGCCCTGTTTAGTTATCCGCAATAGTGCCTAGAGCGCCAGGTTACACAGCGGCGCCTATGAGATGCTGGCCTCGGATGCTCTATAGGTTTAATCCGTGGAGTGTTAGTTTAGAACGTATATCAACGCGAGATACAATGTGTTATCTATTGTGTCTCACATAGACATAGATAGACAAGAGGTTAATTAGCTCCTGCTCTAATACACTTATATGGTAATGTGCAATACATAATTTGTCTATAAAACTGTGCTAAGCTCTTATTCCTTCATTGTGTCATCGAATCCTAGTCTATATTTATGTTATGATCTGAATTTAACACCTTTTTAATACAATTTCTGTCACACACATGATTTTGAGCTAATAATTGTCTCTTTTTATAAATTTCTAGTTTTACTCACAATACCGACTAGCCCAAAGATATTTCATTCTGTATGGCAATGGACATAATATAAATATTAATATATTTATAGCAACTGTTTCACTGTCTCAAACTTTTTAAATGTTTTTGACAAAATTCTCGTTTACTTACCGATGTGCTCTTTTGAAATTACACAGAATTGTGAATTTTGGTTTTGATACTTATAATAAAATTGATTTTTATTATGATGTTGTTTCATTCTCTTATTACATTGCATACAAAATGCCTAGACCCTGCATTACGATTTAATTCCGTGTCGTGGGTGTGTTTGCCAACATACGCTTATCACCAGACTTGGAATAATTTGTGGAACATACAGAGTTGTTCCACATGGGAATCGTACTTGTAACAATGCTCAACATACGATGGTTTTTGTCGGAATAGGTATTTGGTGATGAATGTTAACCATCTAATTTTAGCCAAGGTCACTTCCACCCTATCTTGCGACCAACAAATATATCATTACAGTACACTTAGGGGTTTCTGTACCCCCTAGGGATATGAAAAAAAAAGGGATATGAAAATTTCTTTCAATTTTGTACTAGGATCTCTAGATTTAGACACGCGAGACCTAAGCTATCCTGTTCGCAAGTCACGGAGAACCTAACGGGTTACCGGGGCTCCGGCTCGAAGCGCAGCAGAAGGAACGGGATGGTTTTTAGTCAGTAAGAGTCTGACACTGCCTCCCGCCTCACCTAGGCGGGAGTAGCCATTCGATGACTTTCCCCCTTAAAAAAATCCTGTCCGCAAAAATAATCATAAACATAGGTTTGAGATTTTATAAATGGGTCCGCTCCTGACAAAGTCAATGAATAACCTTAGGTCATTCCCACCCTCTCTGTTAATCAGCAAATATGTCACACAGGGGGTGTAGTCATAAAGTAAGTGGGTTAGAAAATTTGGTTATTTTTAACTAGGATTCTGCTAGACTGCAATATTTTAATTCAAGAAAGCGTTTTACTTGGGATGTATTGTGCTCGACTTTGCCCAGAGAATCAGTAATTATTTATCTGGGATCTGTCTCAGTTTAAAAAATCTTCCCATATAACACAGGGTTGGCCAAGCGGTCGATCGCGACCATTCGTCCACTCGATCGTGGCAAAGCAGACTGCACAACGTAATTACGAATTACTATAAGTAGTATCATCTTGAGTATTTTTTTTAATGTATTTTAATATTATATACTATCCTGTTTCATTTAGGGTCAATTTATACTCGGGCAGAGTCGAAGCGCACCGAAGCGTCAAATTCTTTACAACTAAAGCGAAGTCGCACAAATGCGCGCTTATTCGAGAGTATACGGGCGCACTCTTTGATGAGTATAGGTAATGGGCATTAACCGCATGGATTATACAGGCATTTATATTATTGCACCAGGCAAATTATTTTTCGTCCGAATCGATTCGCTAGTGGGCGCGTGGATACGCAAGAATGCGCGCGCACCAATAAGCGTTGGTCACGCGCAGACGTGCGAAATACGAAGAATGCGCGCGTCTTTTTAAAATCTCAGAAGCAATGCGTTCGTTACGCTGTTGGGTTAAGGTTGAATTTGTTATGTTCAGTTTTGAATAGACGCTTCGATCCGCTTCTGCCCTAGTATAAATTGACCCTTAGGATTTTAAGAAGTATGTAAGTGGTAGATCGCACAGGGTTTCGTTAGATCTTATGCCTGATCAAAGTGGCCACCTTTGCTATATTATATTAATTTCTATTCTGACAAGGATACAAATGGATCGGAGGTAAGGACATAGGGATGCAGGACAAAATGAAATACAACAATTTTAAAACAACATTTATTTTTACATACATTAAGTCGGATTCAAAATGCCTGAAACATACTGATTTTTGTACACATCAGTTATAGAATGTTATTAATTTCATGGACAGTAAATTATATTCTCTTTGCACGAATCTGTGGAGACATGAAACTCAAGCGTTTGTTATTTAATAATCACCTCGCAGTACACACTACTATACACATAAATATTAAAAATTTCATTTTTATCTTTAGGAATTTCATTAATTAGGTATATTTTTTAAATTAAATTTGTTAAAAATATAGATTTTCAGTATACCTTTAAACGTAGGTATGAAGATTAAATACACCACAATCCGCAGTCCGCCGGTAACGAACACAATGCAAGTGCTGATTGAGTACCGATTCTAAACAAACAGTGAATTTGAGCTATGCTATAAAATATCTATTAAAAAATTAACTACCCAAAATTGAGAGAAAAATACGTTTTTATTATTTATTTTTGTGCTACAATGGAAAGAAATCTATGAGCACTAATTAAATGCGTTGATCGATTAGCGAGAGAGATGCGACGAGGAATAGGTATAACTTTACCAAAAATATTTGCAGTCGTACGCGGGCACGCTGCGCTTTGTAAACAAAACAGTACTCGACACCGTCCTCACATACATGTTGTGCGCAAGTACATTCACTTAACACTACTATGAAGATATATTAAAAAAGGAGGAATTTCTCAATACTATTTGGTTATTGGCAACGGACGTTACGATACTACGAGTGAAGGATCTGAACACGCGAAACAAAGTTAAACCTACGTCGACAATGTTTGCGGCCACACGATTACATGAAGACATGCTCACACATAGCACGATACTGCCGGTATGTCATCTAAATATTGAAAAACATAGAAAATTATTTTCTAAGCTACCTTTATACACGTTACTATGACTCACATGTTATTGCATTCACTTAAATTGTAAAGGATGAGGGAAGGACCGCAATATACAATGTTCATATACGTCGATATTTTAGGGGACCCTTCCTAGCTGACACCTCAAGCATTGAATGTTCACTATTCGCATTACCTTCTAGTTTAAAAACATTTAGTTCAAAAACTCATTTAAATATGGACGAAATACCCCTAAAAATGATCTAACGCCGTATGTACAGTGAAAAAATAGAGAATCGGTCGAGCCGAGTAACAAATCGCGGACACTGCATAGATATTACAAAAACATTGAAAACTAAATTGATTACGTATTATTTTTAAGTCTTTGAAGTATGAACAACCGAAAATATTGTGAGCTTAGTGGCATTTATATAGAAATTGTTTAGTCAACTAAATACTAGTCGAACTGAGGCGCAACTATAAATTAATATAAAAAATTCACGTGCTTTCTCTATTAATTGTGATATTTCTAAGTCGTGTACTTTTATATGAAAGCTTAGCCCGGCGCCGCTTAACTGATGGTCATTTTACATAACTAGAAAACGAAAAAAAAATAAAAGAATCACAAAAAAACTGTTAAAAATCTTCACTTTACTTAGTTAATACCATCTTATCTTAGTCATTTTCAATTCCAAGAGCCCTTTACATTATGAAATAAATAGCCTATTACGAGTAAATAAATATCTAGTTATGAAAAACTCCCACTAAGTACCGGGCCTACCAATAAACCAGTTTCAAAATAAAATTGTGCATAAGATCGAAATGACAGTATGTTCCTTTTACTGAGGCAGAACTTTTACGACTACCATTAAAAAGTGTAGAGCAGTATAAGACGAACATTTTAAAACCCAGTGTTTTTAAAAATATTATTTTATCCCAAATTGTCCAATTTCAATACACAAAATATCAAAAAAAATGAGGCTAAAAACTATTAAAAATGTACTAATAATGCCAAAAAGCTTGAATTTATTTAAAAAATATAACGCAATAGTCGCACAGATAGTCAGTTTAGTCGTACAAATAGTCGGATTAGTCGTAAAAGTCGTGTCTCAGCCCGAACAGATCCGACTACCGTGGCACTGCAAGATAGAAATGACCCAAACTTTAGCAGTCTACAATATTATAATATACACTTTTTTTGTTACTTTTGCAATCCATTTTATTTGCGATACACTATTACTTACTTAAATAGCTACCAAATAGTACTTTTTTTTTTCAAATTTTACATATATAATAAAGAATGCCATGTTAATTTATAATTACAATGATCCTATGGTGATGTGATTTGTATAGAGGTCGCCTTATTGCACGATATAACGACACACGGTGACATGTCTTTGACAAAAAACCAATTTTTTCATCAATAACCCGCTGTTCTTTCAGCGATATTTACGTGAAATGTGGGTTATTTTGATGTAATCTTTTGGTTTTAAGTTTTCATGTCACCGAAGTCGTTTCACATTAATCCAAAATTCGCCCATAATTGACAGGCGGTCAACGGTGGTAACCTCTATACGACATATGAATTAACATATAGTTTCATTTAATATTTTAAATGTACGTTATATTCTCTTCTACTTACATTTAAAGTGAAACTTATAAAACACAAAAAAAGAAAAAATACAATTTCAATATATTTAGTTATATTTAAAAAATAATTATTATAACGACAGTGTTACGATTAGAAAGCAAAAAATAGCGATTTTTTGTTACTTTACATATGATACGAAGGAAGGAATTATTTCAGTTTTTTTTAGTATGGTAACATAGGATATGGTGTTTCCGCTGGCAACACTACATTATGGCACATAACACAAACTCCAGCTTAACTTTCTTATATTAAGGACCATTTTTAACAAATTATATATTAACAATTTTATAATATTTCACCGTCAAAGGTAACACAATAAGATTTCGTATAACCAGAGAAATTGCTTCAAGAAATAACAATTTAGTGCTAGAAGTCACTTGATGATAGCGAAAATTGGTTACTACAAAGCAACAAGTTGGGCGACAGTTGAGCAACATTAGGGCAACTATCGCAGCTACTATGAAAATCGCTTAGATATTTTACAATGTTTCTGTGGAATGAAAGTAGTACGATAGTCTAGCCACATATACCACTCCTGAAGCCCAAAAGTTGCCGAAAATTACCTCAAACGGCAAATAAAGTCACTAAATCAAAAATATATTAAGATTCATAACGATAAAATAGATCATTTTCGATATTTTAAACGATATCTCCTAAAATAGCACAAGGTGTAAGTACATATACCAATTTTTTAATATTCTTTTTAAATATAAATAATAATGGTAAATCTATTTAGTAAATTAATGTTAGGATAGGTTAGTAATCTTTGTACTTAAAGGCTAAAATTGTGTCCATCTTATAACGAAAAAAAAATATAGTATATAATCTTTGAAATATTTTTTAAACTCAAATACTGCTAAAATATTGATATTCTGCCGGCCGTATTAGATACAGCCGCATCTTTGGACCTTATTTACCTAGAAGCTCAACATTAAAATATTATAAACTAGGTTACTAAAACTAAAAAAAGCACTTTCATGTTACATATTATTTTAGTCAAAAATTTGTGCTATCAACGAAATTAAATATACATAAAAAAGGGAGAACCCTAAAACATGGAAGACGTACATTTGAAAATAAAATAAAATGCTTTTCTCAATAAAATTAAACTATTTTAGTAAAAACTAAATAAATACGTGCACTTGTGTTTCGGCGCCATTTTTCTTTTTCAGTTATGGAATTTCGTTATTAATTCGTATTATAAACATATTACTGTCTGAATAATTAGATACAAGAAGTCGAAATTCTGTGTAATAAGTCGTATAGATTGATTTGTAAACAATTAAGTTCGCATGATTATAGAAATTTTCATAAATAAAAAAAAAACACATTAGTGCCCCCAAAAAAGTCTGTAATCAAAAATATACAGATAATATAGGAAAAAAACTCATTCGTTCTGTTCTAAAAAACATGGCTATACTTTGTATAATTTCACTATAAATTAAAAACATTCAGATTTTATTCATTTAACAATAAATAAAGAATATAAATTTGGCCTAATTTGAGCATAATGAAAATTGCGCTCGGGTTTATGGGACAGCATAGAACTATGCATATTTTTGTAAACTATTATACCTAAAAAAACAACGAATTTTTTAATATGTTATGTCGTTTGACCACTATCTGGTGGTAGGCGATGATGCGACCTACGATTGAGCATGTCGTCCCATAAGCAACCTATTCACTCGGGCCCTGAAGACATCCAGGTTATATATATACCATTCAAGAAACACAAAACAATATTACCTAATTTTATTCCTCAATGAAATGTAACATTCGTGTTTAGCCAGGTATGTTATGAGTCCCATTTCTTTACTAATCATTTTTTCTTTTCCTTCGTTCAAAAATCTTGGTTAAAATAGTGTCAGTAGTCAATATTTACTTTTAAAAGAAACTAGAGAAAGAATCACGCCTATATGAGGTATGACAGAGGTGTGTGTATATAACATTTTAGTCAGAATTTTTCCCAAAAACTATGTATAGAAGTAAAAATCTAGGTAGATATATCTAGGTAGTATGCATAGTCTAGCTAGTCCCATTTAAGCTTAAAACCTAAATAAGCTTGTGTGCTTGACAGAAAGTGAATACTATTGGTCTAGCCTCGATGATCCTTAATATAAAACTGTTTTTAGAACTTTACAACGGCGCGGGCGACGACGGCACCTTCCAAGGTCATTTTAACAATGAAAAATATATGGTTTTAGTTAATAATTAATACATTTACGTATTTTATTGTAGATTTTTACTTTTTACAAGACTATAGAGAATATATGATCATAGTTTTAGTTTTTTTCCAAGTGCTTTGTAGTTATCTATGGTGATATCGTACCGTCGTCGTGTCGTCACCGGTTCCTATCCGGGTCGCTCACACCTTTTCAATCCAGTCTAATTTAGACCAAAATCTAGATTCTAGACTCTCATACCCATACAATCGACTAAACATATACCCGAACTACATCACTAGTAGTTTGTTTTGGCGACGCGATTAGTCGATTCTCGTTCCCAAACGATTTAGTCGATTACAACATTTAATAAAATGCCATCGACTACATACTGACGTAACCCAGCACTAAATGTGAATATCGCATGATTATAATGTATATAAGTTAATAGTTAAACAATAAAGATTTAATTAAAATCAACAACTATCAATTTATAATAGAATCTTGAAGCAAATAATTATAATAAGAATTAAGAACAACTTATAAGTACCATTTTGTGTCAACTGATATAAATATATCGGTAAAATAGACCGATCGACTAAATATATCGATACAATATAAACATAATAACTGGCGAATTATCGAAAATTCCACGCTACATAATCGAGCTGTCGAATTTAGTCGAATCACGTCACAACCCAATAGACCCGACAACGTCACATTACTACGCGAATAAGTAACGTAGTGATGTGCGTTCACAAAATCGACTAAGGTGACAACTTACTAAAAGTCTATGGTTTAATAATGTCACTGTGTGTCTGTGGTACTTATTGGACTTAGTTACACTAAAGTGTTTATTTTAGAATAGAATTTGCTAGTTCATTGCATATGGCTTGTCAGTACTTTGAGACACAGTGGCATTATTCAACCAAAACAACAAAATTAACAATGAATGTTTTTAAAAAACATATTTAGTAAATTCTCACATAAAATCGACTAAAGTTGCCAGCGTTTTGGGAACTTTGACGTTCGGAAACACCATGGGAACATCGCTAGCCGCGAACATATCGATAAACGCTTCGTAATCGATACAGAATCACCTAAAAAATCGCCTAAAGTCGTAGTTTAGTAAAAAAATATTCAAAGATACGTTTAAGTATATTACGAAAATATTCGAGATTGAGGTTTTTGAGATAATAGAAGAAAAATATTTTTAGAAAAAGATCCTCATGGATAGATACGTCGATTGTATAATATATAACGTTTGGCGATAAGGTGGCGATAGTATCGTTACGAAGCGTTATCGTTATTGGCGGTAAATAACGAGGGGACTCACGGCCATAAGTTGTATGTATTGCTGATCGGGACATTGGAGTTGCGGGCCTACCGAGTAACCGCACAAGCGTTTTCTGTGGACAAAAAGCTTTGTTAGTAGATATGGCGTAACGCTACTGAAGAAGTGAAGATCACGGCATACTGTTAGATTGAACCATTTGGGTATTTTCCTCGGTCAAAAATAATTTATTTTCATTTTCTAATCCAATTAAATATTAATAAATAATTACAATTTCATTCATATATTTGACGATATACTTAATTTTCGATTTATTAAGCATTTTTTTTTAGAAATTATTATGCTCTTAGGCGTTAAAAAACGTGACGTCACAATACACAATCTCGTACAAAATTCACAGAATACCGTCGTTTTTGACAGTTCGAAAAAAAGTATTTGAATTTGACTAGTTGGCAAGTACTCAATTTCACCACTTGACACTGGCAGTATAGTCGACAACATGTATCGGAGACTCGGTTGCCAATGGGAAAAAATGACTAAGGATGTCAATCCTTTGTTCTTTAGTCATTTATAGTCAGAATTTTAATTAGATTCCAGATTTGACAATAGCTACTGTCATTTTGTGAAATAATGATACCACATATTATAATAGTGTAGTGATGAACACAAAAATCGATAAACAATCAGTGTGTGTGTTTTATAATAAATGTTACAGAAAGTGACAGGATAGCGATAGCGATGACGGCGACAATTTATAAAATAACTTGTTACCGTAATACATCTATCTGTTTTATTTGTCATGTTCCTTCATGATTACATTTTTTTATTTATTTCACATACAATTATAAAAGAAAAGTCTCAGATCGTTAATTATTCGTCAAAACTAATTTATCGGCTCAGAAATATTTAATTTCCTGATATACTTAGTTTACGAGAGTAAAATAATAAAAACGAGAAGAATCGATCCAGAAATATTGCATTTCCATATCGAATAATTTCGCAACGTCACTATTTAGTACTTGTCATAACGTTGCAACACTGAAATTGTCAAATCTGGAATCGAATTAAAATTCCGAGTATAGT